CACTCGATTGTGCATATATACGAACACACTCACGCACATATATATATATGTGTATATACATATATAGATACCTATATGGTTACATATAACGTCTGTATATATGTATAGATATATAGGTTCGCAGGACACAGCAGCGAACGACGCAGGAGGGCCACGTGCGCACACGTGCATGAGCTTAACAGTAGCGCCCAGGCGGCTCCAGGCGATAGTGGGGCACAAAACGACCAGAGAAGTCGCAGCAGCAGGTAAGGAGGAAAAGAAGAAACTGTTTTAAACGCAAAAAGAAGTTCTGTTGAAGCAGAGTGAGCTGCTAGAGACACCCCACACTGTTGGCATGCTACACGCACTGCCGCACATGCAACTGCAGCTGCTGCTGCTGCGGCTGCGGCTGTTGATGGAGATGTGCTGTTGATGATTCTGCTGCTGCGACTGCTCAGAGACATCTGCTCCTGATAGATCTCCTGCTGATGATGATACATTTGCTGCTGCTGCAATGCCGACAGGGCGGTTGCTGCTGCTGCGGACAAATATGCTGCTGCTGCTGCTGGTGGTAGATCTGTCGCTGGTGGCGCTGCTGGTAGACATGTTGCTGCTGGAGCCGCTGACAGACCGGCCGCTGCTCGAGCTTCTCAGAGATCTGCTGCTGAGAGATCTGCTGCTGGCGCTGCTGACAGATGTGTTGCTGCTGTGGCTTTTGAAAGGGTTTTAAGTGGAAACCTGCTGCCAATTTCCTCTTTGCTTGTAGCCGCTGCATGCAGTGCAGCAGGAGGAGCATAGATGGCATGCATTCACTTTACCACCGACTAAAATTTGATTGTTCTTCCGGTCTTCAAGAGAGCAGCATGAAGGGCAGCGGCTGTCAGCGGAGCAGCAGCGCTTGTGTGCAGCACATCTCGTTTCCGCGGTAGCAGCAGCAACAGCAACCGCAGCAACAGCAGCAGCACCGGCAGCAACAGCAGCAGCAGCACCAGCAGCAGCAGCAACAACAGCAGCGGCCAACAACTGCAGCAGCAGCAACAGCAGCAGTGCAGCAGCAGCAACAGCAGCAGTGCAGCAGCAGCGACAGCAGCAACAGCATTGGCAACAGCAGCAGCAGCAAGGCAACAGCACCATAACAGCTACGTACGACCTGCCCAGCTTATATAACGGCAGCACAGTACTAGGTTTTGCAGTTAAGAAGCATCAGCGACAGGAGCACCAGCGAGAGAATTGCCTAATAACGGCACCTTGACAGCTATACACACATGTACTCAGAGGCTTCTGAACATACGTACCTACATACACACATGCAGGCCCTGCAGGGGACACAGCAGCATGATAGTACTAGACTCTGTCGCACGGCTGCCCGAGCGGCAACAGCAAAAGCAGCAGAACCACACAGCAGCGTCTGCGCAACAGCGCCTTACCAGTTATAGTTACACACATATATACTCGCATACCCGCCACATATACATAGATACACACACGCATACGTGCAAACAGGCTGTACAGGACGCGTAGCAGCAGCACAGTACTGAACTACTTAGCAGACCAGCATCAGCGACGGCAGCAGCAACAAGGGAAAGACACAGCAGCAGCTACGCGACAGCACCGTAACAGCCACATACATATATACGTGCGTCCTTACATACATATGTAGAGGCTGTAGAGGACACCTAGCAGCAGCAGATTACTAAAATAGCAGCAGAGTACTAGACCCTGCAGCAGGGCAGCATCAGCGACAGCAGCAACAGGGAGAAAAACGCGCCTGCAGCAATACAGACCCGGCGACCCGCAGCAGCAGCGCAAGTCTGGCCGTATTGCAGCAGTAGTCGCGGAGACCAAGTACTCGCACAAGAGCAGGCCACGCGCTCCACATAGAGGCAGCAGATGAGGCCGGCCACCCCGGAGACAAGAAGGGCGGCAGCGATGTCCCGTGACAGCGGAGGCAGTAGTGACAGTAGAAATATGAACGAAATAGAAGTTATCTGCTACAAGCAGAGAAGCTGCAAGCCAATAGTGAAATACACACTGTTGCAGCACCGAGGTGCTCTTGCAGAGGCCTCCATGCGTTTTATACATTCGACGTGCAAAGTGGTATTTTTCTTCGAACTACAAAGAGAGCAGCAGGAAGCGCAAGTAATAATGCACTGGGGCAGCAACAGCAGCAGAAGCGCAGAAGTGGGTGTTGTTTCACACGGCGCGCAGCATAAACAAATGCAGCAAGGCAATTCAAATACTGCGCATTCACATGTACAGGTGTGGTATAGGCATATTCCGACGGCGTCATACAAGTCGTGAATATCGGATAGTGAAATGCATATGTCTGGCGTACACATCTACCGATGTATTCATACAAATCATATAGGTTGCACAACCACATGTATATGGCTGTCCTTCGCATACACGGGTGTGTGTACGCAAGTTGTAATACTGCGCATTTACATGTACGTGTAAATATTGCCCTATACATGTGCACGGTGATATACGCGTAAAATGATCTATACATACAAGCAGTGGATATTGCAAATTAACATGTACACGTCGGGGGCCACGCATACGCCGCAGTATTCGTACGAATTGTGAATACTGCACAATCATATGTAGACGTGCGTCCCGGGAGTTGGGCGCTCTCGGATGTGCATAAGGGACTGTGGATACTGCGCAAACACGTGTCTCTCTCTCGCCTACGCGTATACCGGCGTTTCCAAACAGGTTGTGAGCAGTGCACATTCGCATGTACATGTGTGGCGTAGGCATATACAGATATACATATGTATATGTGTATGTCTGGAACTTGTCCATACTCCACGTTCATATGTAGAAGCGTGAGCTCGACATATACCGACGTATATACACAAATCGTGAACAGTGGACAAGCGCAGTTACCTAAGTGGCTTTGGAAAGATACCGCGTGTATTCACGATGTGCAGTGGCCTTGGCACATGCACGTTGTCAATATCGTACACCCACGGGCACATTCCCATGTACATGCGTTGTCCACGCCCATGCCGACGTATTCGTAGACGACGTGGGCACGCCACTTTCACATGCGACGGCGCCTTCCTCCGTACATGCACATGCCGAAGGAGGCACGAAGCCCCGTCGCCCACAAGACAGAAAAATATGAGTCGTATGCAACTTATGAACTGATGGTTGCTAGGAGTTATTTGATGGTGATGTTCATGACGACGACTATGATGATGATAAGAGCTCCAGCTACATACGCGGGAGACGACCTGCGTGTAGAATAGTGCACCTCCAAGAAGAGTGATGCCCTCCTGCGTCCACATAAAGCTTCAAGCTGCATATATTATAATTTGTCTCTCTGCTTACTTATACGTTTCCACCAAACACATATGGTGTCCCCTCAATTATTGCAGCGCTACTAGTCGTTAGCTCATGATGATGATAATGGCAGGACCTTCCCCTACGTTCGCAAGAGGTGACCCGTGTCTGCACCCGTCAGTCGCTGAGAAGACTGACGTTCTCCTCCGAGCACACAAATTTTCCGGCTGCATACATTATATTTATCCGTATATGCGTCCGTATCCACTCCTATCGGGCACATACGTTTTGCCCTCACTTTCGCACTCGCGGGCTCGCACACTTGACATCTGCAACATCCATCAGTTACGGTGTAGTGGTGAGCTTGAATATGCGCGTTCTAATTAAACCCTGGAATAGAGTTTGTGCGGCCGCCTGTTCCCTTCAGTCGTCGCACACTCCCGCCTGCCATTGGAGGCTCACGCGTCGAGCAGGCCCAATGGGGTGAGGCCCAGATACTGCGCCCGCTTTCATGGGCTTGGAGTAGAATGTGTAAAACAGACAATTGTCCTTGCTTGTGAGCTTCGCATGGAGAGACTACAGCTGTTCGTTCCAGTAAATCATTGCAGTCAGCGCCCAGCACACACACTTGCGGCCTACGTCATCCACCAATGACAATGAGGCGCAGACTTACGTGGTTGGGAAACCTGCTTCATCCACCTATTACAAGGAGCGCAGTCTCAGATGTGTTTACTTATTACATGAGCGTACAGTCCACCTCATCCACCAGTTACAACGAGGCCGAGCCTTAGACAGTGTCTACAACAGTAAATCCCCCTTAGTTACGAGCTCGGGACAGAGTGACTGGATCGCCCCAAATACCCTGGTCATCGGACTTTCCATCTGCCAATCAAAATAAGGTGCAGGCGTGAGTATGTTCGCCTCAATGTATGAGTGCAAAGTTGGCGGCATCCACCGGTTACAATGAGGTGCACTTCCGCTTCTAGGAAATTTACGTCATCCGCGTTATGACGGGCCGAAGCCTTGTACACATACGCTCTCATTATGTGCTCGGAGTAGTGCGTCTAGAACAGTCCATTTCGCCTGATCACATTCTTGAAAGATAGTGTCTGCAACGGCCGTCTTCCCCTGGTTATAGCAGTGATCACTGTCTGTCTCACACATTGGGAAGTGGAGGTCATCCACCAGTTCCTCTCGTGCGGAGGCCTAGATACCGGGCACAGTTTCATATTTTCGGGTTTGCGTGCCCATGAACAAGACAACAGTAACACCAGATCCTTGAAATTTATAGCGAACATGCCTTCTCAGCGCTTACAGAGGGACGTGCTCCTCTCTTCTTCTTGATGCTTCTACGCTTGCTACACCGGCTCTCAGTGATGCGGTGGGATATACCAAGAGGCGTCTGCAAAAACTTTCTCCTCTGCTCCTGATGCTTGCCCACTTGCTACACTTGCTGCTAGTCATGCTGCTCGCTGCTCCTTTGCACGTACTACATATGCTGTCAGAGACATTGCGCAGTATAAGAGGAGGCGTCGAAAAGCAGCTGCTCCTCCGCATAAACTGCCTTTCCAGTCGCTACACTTGCGGAAGCGTGGGCCCGTGAGGACTACAGCATCACTGGACTCTCTCATAAACGTGGTGGCACACTACCTACGCGCGTCCAGCCGTCGCCTCGACGGCCGCCATTGTACCTGAGAACAGCAGCACTACTGCACTCTCTCATAACTGTGGTGGCACACTTCCTACGCGCGAGCAGCCGCCGTGTTAAAGGCGCCTTTGTACGTGAGAGAGTCTAGGATCACTAGACTCTCTCACAAAGGTTGTGGCACCCACTTTCTACGCGCGTTCAGTCGTCCTTTGAAGGCGCCTTTGTACGTGACTGAACGCAATCACCTCAGGCGATCACTCCCGCTGCAGCAGCCTTACGCGCCGACGACAGACGCTGCCTACACTCGAAGCATCACTATCCCCAAATATGAATGACACATACGCACCTGGCTTCACATTACTTCCCATGTTGTGGACGGCAGTACCCGGCAACGGAGCATCGAGCGAGAGGGCGGAGCAGATGATCGTACACGCATCGTATCATACCCCGCAGCATCACCAATCGGAAGCATAGCGCGTGTGGAGGCGCCTGTAGACGCTTTTTATCATGCGCCGCAGCATCACTAACAGCGAGTGTAGCAAGAGCAGCGCCAGCGTCGCTAATAGCAAGAAATGTAGCGAGCCTAATAGAATCACGGAAGAGAAACAGTGCCTGTCCACGCCTCCTATTATAATAGGCGTCTGTACACGTGTCTTACTATACGTCGCAGCATTATTCACGACAAGTAGACCAAGTGTAAAAGCTTCGAGAGAGAAACAGGAGCAGGCGCCTGTGAACGCTTCCTTTTATATCCCGCAGCATCGCTAACAGCACCTGTACCAAGTGTGAAAGCATCTGGTACAGAGAAGCAGGAGCCTGTGCACGCTTTCTACACTACCTGCGACATCACCAACAGCAAGTGTACTAGGTGCAAGTGCACCAAAAGAGAGAGAGGAGCAGGTGCCTGTGGACGGTTCCCTTTTAGGAACAGCAGCATTACTAACAGCAAGTGCAGCAGGTGTGAAAGCATCTCGAGCAGAGGAGCGGCTGCCTGTATACGCTTCTATTATACCCTGCAGCGTCTCTAGTAGCGGATTTAGCTCGCGTAAATGCATCAAAGCAGACGCAGCATCACTAACGCCGGGTGGAGTAAGCGCGTATGCATCAATAGCAAAGGAGTACGTTTCTATAGACGCCTCCCTATTTTATCCCGCAATGTCAATGAATGCAAATGTAGCAAGTGTAAAAGCGTCGAGTACAAGAAAGGAGCAGGTGCTCCCGTACCTACCGAGCGGGTTGCTTCTTCCACGCAGCCTTCGGCATTTCGGCCGTGCCAGTGGCCCAGACAGTAGACATCTGTTAGCCGCCGAGAGGACGAAAGCTACCGCCGTTCCAAACCGGAGGCCATCGGTAAAAGCAGTCTACATAAACAGCCGGCAAGTAGAACACCACCGAGGGACAAACGGAGTTCTGGCGCTCTCGGGCGGAGCGGAGGCGTCGGCTGCTGTAGTTCAGCTGTGGAAGCGACACATATCTATACACGTGTACATGTGTGGGCACATACACATGTACATACACATATGAATATACTCATACCCGCGTGTGTACAGGGCCACGGGTACGCTTTTTTGCATTGCGTCGGATGCGTCAACCTGAATTGCTAAGCTGTGGGAACGCCACTAGAGCCTGATGCACTTCTTTGCGTTGGTGGACGCTCAACAGCAGTCGGTCAGCTGTAGGAAAGGCCTCTAGAACCACACCGCGGCTTCGCAATGACTGCTGCGACAACTGTTGCAGTACTGTGGTGGAAAACCACGTATGTGCATTCGTGTGTGTATATGTGTAGGTGCACAGACGTTGACATAGATGCGGAGGTCGCACGCGCATGTCTGGCGTACTCCTAGCTTTCGTGACCCCATGACAAGGCGTTTTATTGTTATAAAACTGTGCCGCGGCACCGCATGGTTATACTGCTTGCATGTAGGTCTCATTCTCTACATTCGTGACCTTCGCTTTTCGCGCGGAAGCCTTGACAAACACCACATCTCTTCCCGGAATCTCTTACTACAGTTCCGTCACTTCCAAAGCAGGGCCAGTAGTAGCCACCGGGTGCTGCTGCTGCTGCCAGCGCCGAAACTCTGCTGTTCATGCTGCATATCTAGTTGTGGCAGGCGGCGCGGCGCTGTCGACAGAAGAAATTCTACTACGCCGGGACACGGAACTTCTTCGCCTGCTACAACTCCTGCTGCTTTACGCTGCGCCGCTGTTCCACATGCTGGGACTTATGTGACGTCAGTTGACGCTTTCGTCCGCCTCTCTCTATAGACTGCGGCGCTTCCTGGCACTGTTGTACCGTGCGTCGCTCGTGGGAGCTACATGGTGTCGCTTCTCAGGCGCCCCCAACACTTTTGTACATATCTCTGTACAGGCCGTGGCGCTCTGCGTTACTTTGGGTACCTCGGTTGGCTCTACTTCATTATATTCGCGGATTAGCCATCTGTGTCTCCAGTGGCTCCACGCTGCGAAACTGCAGCAGGACTGGCCTGGCCGGCGTCTACCTACGCACGCCTATGCGCTGCAGCGTCTGTTGGGCGGCTCTCATTCTGTATTCACACGGCACGCTCAGATATAATACACATTTTCGCAGCTGGCTGGCATGCCGTTTGCCCTTCAATTACAGAAGTTCGCCTATATTCTACGTTTTCTCAGCCGATTGTCATAGGTGCTCTGTAATCGAGATTTCACGTTTTCGCGGCTGGTCGCCGGTTTCCGCACCTGGTTGTCACGGCTGTTCGCCTATGGAGGGACCGTACATTTCAGGTTTGACGATCCAGGCGTCGGTGTCGCGTGAGAGTGAGCGAAGCTCGTAACTTCTGTGAGGCGGTGGTGGATAATCGTGGTCGTTCAAGGCTGTCGATCTCGAACTCTGTCTTGATCGGAGCTTAGTACTACATTCACACAGGGACATAATAAAGTCGCGGTACTACCAGTGCTCGCGAGGTATGGAAGCAGCAGCAAAGCCTCCACCAACAGCACCTGTGTATTCCTCAGAAAAGTAGTGGCCCCCTCGATGTGCTGTGAGAGGGATCTCTCAGCGAAGAAAAAACACGAACATTTTTTTTTCAGCGCGAAAGATCGACGTGAACGTCCATGTCTAAGCGTGTCTCCGTTAGTAGTGCCTGCGCCCATGAAACAACGCACACCAGCAGAAGTAGTATCAGCGGGTGCAACAATAGCCTCAGCACTTGCACGGTGACATAAATCAGCAGAAGTAGGTTCAATGTACGCGGGGGCTGAGGGCAGCGCCAAAGCGCGTACTTCACCACGTGTGGATTTCACGCGGCTCGTGGCAGCCCCCACCCAGGTGCTGTCAGAGGAGTTTCTCAGCACGAGTGAACACAGAGACGCTTCTCAACAGGAATTGTTTGCCGATGTCGATCCCAGACCCTCTCCCCTTCAGCCAAAAGGCCTTGCACCCACAGGGGGAAGCAGACCAGGAGAAGTAATATCAGTGGCAGCACCGCCGCTGCGTACCCACAGGAACCCAGTAGGAGCCTCAGTGGCCCGTTGAAGTACTGGAAGAGGGGTCCGTCAGCAGTGTGGACACCGAGACTGTCCTGGTCTAAGCCGAGATGGAGGCCAGCGTCGGTCCCAGACGCCCCTCCGGACCGTAGTCCTACCACCCACGGAAGGGCACTGCTTAGCAGTAGTACCAGCAAGTGCGGGGCTACGGAAGCAGCAGCAAGGCCACCAGCATCGCCGCCAGCATCACCACACATGGAACTCACAGAAAGTCGCATTTGTCCTATTGAAGCGCTGTCAGATGTGTGTCTGCCAGCACAAGGCAGGACAGAGACTCTTCTCAAGGCAGGAGATGGAGGCGAATGTCGATCTCGAGCCGTGTCTTCTTCAGGCAGTAGCCCTCGCACGTATTGGAAGGACGCCGGCGGACTGGCAGCAGTAGCATCAGTGTGTGGGAGACAGGGCAGCAGCAGCGAAGTCACTAGCAGCACCACGTGTGGCAATTCACAGGAAGTGAAAGTATTTCCACGGGTTCAGTGAGGCGCTGTGGGACGACTGTCTCAGCAGGAGGCAACAGGGGCACCCTCCTACTCGACGCAGGAGATGAGACCAGCACATGTTCTAGCAAGCAAATCTACTGCTAGCAGCACGTGCCGTGCTGCAGCAACTGCAGGATTACGCGTGCGGCCTCGCAACGGGGGCAATACAGCCACAATACTGTAGCACGTGCAACAGCCGCTAGCAATAATACGAGCCAGGGCTGCAAGGCAATCAGCAGCTGCGGTAGCGTGAGGGCGACGAGCAATAGAGCCAGTCGTACCAGCAGTTGGAGCTGACGTAGCAATAGAAGCTACCATGCAACACAACAACAGACCGCGGGGGGCTAGCAGTTGGAACACGGCGGTGGGCCGGACGGAGTTGTCATGTATGTACTAGCACCCTTTGTAGGGTTGCGTCGTCGATACGGAGGGGCCGATCCGCAAGGTAATGAGGGATCCCAGCGCTTCAGAGGAAGTGGAACACGGGATGGCCGCATAAGCACAGGAATTTGCAGCGTAGTTTAGCACGATAATGCTACTGTGTTCGGCTCTTCTCATGTGTGCCAGTGTCACTACTACAACGGGGCTTGGGACCCCCTCCGACAGAGCATTCCGCCCCCCTACACGGAGGAACTTGCGCGCGTCCTCCCTCTCCACTCCCCCTACTAGCATGCCACGCCAGCGTACACAGAAGCCGCGCGCATCCTTCCTTTGCACCCTCCCTAATAGCACTCCGCGAACATAAACAAGGAGGCCATGCGCGTCCTCCCTCTCCGCCCTACAAGCATTGCGCCACCATACACTGGAGAAGCCACGCGCGACCTCCGTCTTCACGCTAAGCATTCCGCCATCATACATAGGAGAAGCCATACCCGTTTTCCGTCTCCCCTCCAAGGCGTTCGCCCGCATACACCGAGGGAGCCATACGCATCCTCACTCCCTACCATTAGCATTCTGCCCTATACACAGAAGCAGCCACGCACATGCTGCCTCTCCGCAACAAGCATTTCGCCATCTCCCATGCGCGTCCCCCCGTGCCACCACTACCCTTCCCTCACCGGAATACACAGAAGCAGCCGTGCGCATCCTCCTTTTCGACAATTAGCGTTCCGCCATAGATAAATGAAGAGGCGGCGCGTGCTGTATAGAGCTTCCCTCCTCTGCGTCCTGCCTTACATAGGAAAGGCCGCGCCTGTTGAGTGAAGCTCCTCTCGACTGCATTCCATCACACTTAGAAGAGGCCGTGCGTGCTGTATAGAGCTTCTCCCTCTTCTGTGCGAGCCCCGCCTCTTCAGGCGGGCGGCTTCTTCGTGCCGAGTCCTCTCTCTCGTCATTCACATTTTTGCGTCCCGCCTGCTTTTTGTGTTGACACCTGCTGTGTCATCCGTTTTTGCGTTGTGTTCCCCTCGTGAATCCCAACTGCATTTTTAAAGTGTGTCCTGTAGAGCTCTTCTGCCCTCGTTGAGAGAGCCACGGCGCTTCCGATGGGGAGACTTCACCGTGCCGCGTCCGATTCTTCCGGCTTCTCTTATTTTGCGTGCCCTCTTTTTTCTCTGCTGAACCCTGTTCCATCCGTCTTTGCTTAGGACTTGTAGGCGAGTTTCTGGTTTCGTCTTCCTCTTTTTCCTTTTTGTTCCCTTCCATTTCCTCCTGTTGTTGTGTTCGTTCCCCGCCGCTACCCCGCGGCTACACCGCCGCTCCTCCTGCCGCCGCCATCCCGGTGCTTTGCCGCCTCCCCTTCGGTGACTTGCGGTGTGCACGTCCACCGCAACTCGTAAAAAGGAGAATATTCCTCAGCGTCCCTATATTTCCTCTTTTTTTCTTTCTCTTCCAGGCGTTACTGCAACTCTAGTCCCCCGCATATCTACTACTACTCTGTCACCGGTAAGCCCCGCTTCCTTCCCCTCTTCAGGATTCTCGCGGCGGTCGCCCACCACCGCCCGCACAAGCGGCCGTCGCTTCCTCTCCCGCGCGTCTTCTCTCTTCTTCATCGACACCTTTTTAGCTTCACCCTCTTGTTTTAGTGTCGGTCTCATTTGTTCCGCCTTTCTCCTGCCACGTACTATTTTGCATTTGCTGCCGCAAGTTTGGTCCCACATGCAGTCGTGCGTACCTAGCCGGCGTCGCTCCCTCCCACGCAGGTTTCTGGTCCTCTTTTTGCCTTCTTAAGCAGCTTCACCCTCTTGTCAGTGGTAGGTTTCTTTCTTCCGTTCTTCTTCCGTCAGATGCTCATCTCCGTCTGCGCTCTCGGTTTCGGCCGCACACGCAGTCGTGCTTCCCCCCTTTTCCCATTGTCACCCCGTGTTTGTAGGGTCTTAACAGCGGGAGAGCGCGATTTCCTGCTACCACCGTTGTCTGTCTGAAGGGCAAGTGTCTGCCATCGCTTCACTGAGAAATCCGCACTCATCGTCAGACTCCCATCCCCTCCCCCGCAGTTGGCAGTCAGCGGCCCTTGAGGGTGCTAGCCAGTAGGTATATCTGCAGCTTTACAAGCAACCGGACTAACTCGTTTCCTTGCTCAGACGAATTTTGTCGTAGCGGGCGGAGGCAGCGTCGGCCCGCGTAGAATAGAGGAATCGAGAGGGCTCTGAAATTTCCGCTTCCGTTACAGCTGCATCTGCGCTGCAGATATGACCGCGTGCTCCTCTCTAGCCATGTTAGGCTGCGCCGTGTATTGGTTGTCCTTCTGGAGACACTCTCTTTTATATGGCGTGTGGCTTCAGTTCTGCTCCTGTTTCACGGGAACTCGTCGCTGAATGCCGTTGGAGTCTATTTTTCGTTGGCGGCGGGTCCTGCCGGACGATGTCTGAAAACAGCAGCGTATGTCTCTGCTTGTGTACGAGGCCGTCTCCCTGCTGGTGTGGAGGGCCTTTTTATCTTTCTTTAATAAGTGCGGGATACACGCTACTAGCCTGTGTGAATAGTGGTGTATCACTGTTTTTCCCGCTCCTACCTGCTAAAAATGACAGCCTGCGACTCGCTCTCTCCGTATATACATATATATATATATATACATATATGTGCATCAAGGGGCGTTCCGTGGTGACGTATGTACGCATGTAGCGCCGCATACACCGGTCAGAATCCGGCTGCAGGCGTCCGGAGAACAGCACGGGGTTCTCAGGCTGCTAGACCTCTCCTTCAGACGTATGCAGAGGATTCGTGTGCAAGTGTGTGTCTCGGTGTGGAGGTATCATCGGTCATTTTGTTAGAGTTCTCTGCGTCTTTTTCCCGTGTGGGCCCATGTGAATGTAGTTCAGGCCGTGCGAGAGCGTTGATCAAAACGGGCAGCCACAGCAGTGGCAGCAGCAGCAGCAGCTTCTCTTGCTTTTCTCTCCGTACTTCCTCCTTTTTTCAAGCAACATTATTGTCCCCGGGGAGCAGCGGGAGGAGCACGTGCTGGTGCCTTCCGCTTCATTTTCGACGTCTCTCATCTTCTGTGGTCACTCGCGCAGTACCAGTTGGGTATCAGCATCTGACTCTTTGACCTTTCAGTTCCTGCTGTTTATTCAGTTCTACAGCAGAAACGGAAGTGGTAGGTCTTCTCTCCTTCTCCCTCTGACATCTCCGCGCATATGTGCGCTTGATATTTTGCTAACACACACCCAGCTCCTTCGTCCCTCCACGTAGAGCCCGGAATTTCTCTGCGTATGTAAATCCCTCTCAATTTGAGGCAGCCCGAGCAGCAGCAGCGGCAGCAGGAGGGAGATGGCAGCAACAACGGCAGAAGAGTTTGCTGCTGCAGCGGCTACGCTTCCGATGGAGGGGGTGCCTCACCACTTAAGCGAGGACGTGGATGCTGCAGCTGCACAGCAGCAGCAGCAGGAAGGAGGCGTTGTGCCGCAACTGCTCCACGATTTGCAGCAGCAGGAAGCAACCGCGTGGCAGATGCAAGGGGCAGTGGTGGACGCGCTAGGCTTTGCGCAGACAGCAGCAGCAGCCGCAGCAGAAAATGTACTAGAGGAAGCTGCCGCTGCTGGTGTCCATGGGAACGGTGCAATATCAGTGACTGTGGTCAGCGAAACAACGACTACAACACTTACGCCGCAGCAGCAACAACAAGACGAGGAGGACCAGCAGCAGCAGACTGCTGACGAGGAAGACCGGCAGCAGGCGCAGGACCAGCAACTCGGCAACAGCACCACTACTGCTGCTGCAGGAGCAGCACCCGCAGCAACGCAGGCACGGACAGACGGAACAACTGCAGCAGCAGGGACAGGACGTGCTGCTCCATCTGCCTCTCCTGCGACCAATAAGCCTAAAGAAAAAGAAGAGAAAGTGTTGTAAGTCTGTCACTCATGTAAAAAAAATGTGCATAGAAGCACAACATTGTGTCACACGAAGCCAGAAGCAGCACACAGAAGAGGAGCACATAGCTGCCGCAGCAGCAGCAGGCCCGCGGCGCGGCAGCGGCACGCCGGCTCTCACAGCTATCAACAGGGGCAGCAGCACCGTTCATTATCATTATCAACAGCAGCGGCAGCGGCAGCACCACTCATCATCGCGAGTAGCAGCAGCAGCAGCGTGACTCATCGTTAACAGCAGCAGCAGCATCACTCATCACCATCAGCAGCGGCACACGTCTCGCTGCAGCACACCAGAGGGACTGCAAGAAGTAGCTGTCGCGACACGAGCTTGTATACGATAGACTGCCAACGTCACATCTGTATCTTTGTGCTTCTGGCTGGTAGCACACATGTTCAGCAGAAGAAAACTGTTTATTGTCGCTCGCCCCTTTGTGTCCCCTCCCCACGACAGAGTCTTACGTGCACCAGTACCAGCACCTCCTGCCCGTGTACATATCTATATAAATGTATATGTAGGATATATAATACACATGTGTGTGTATCTATCCATGACGTTAGTATGTGGGTACCTGTCTCCACCGCGACACTACACGGTAAAACGCACACTGCCTTACATTATACGTTTCTACACACGCATGTGTCCTTCGTACATGTCCCTGCGGGCGCATATCTCTATTCCGTCTCCTCATAGATTATCCGATGGCTGCCGGGCACAGGCCGCACGCCCGTTTCTTGCTGTTTGCATACCAGCGTGCGTACATATCTACACGTCGTGCTTGCGTAGACGCCGCCAGTGTCGTGGTCTGTTAGTAGGCTTTACATGAGTGGAAACAGCGTATATATATATGTGTGCATGCACACCCGCTGAGGCAGTTTCGCGCCCCGTTTATATAAGCATGTGTATACGTGCACATTTGTAAAGCCGAGGTAGTTTCATCCATCAGTAGGGGGCCTGTATCTGTGGACTCAACATACGTATGTGTACGTATACAGATGAGTATGTGGACTGTCAGCGTATATACTGATAGTATGTCAGTGGACTAGTGGGGTGTATATACGTCTATATATACGTGTATGTATATATATGTATATACGTGTAGGTAGTACACTGGTATGCGGTCGTCTATGTGTGAAGATACCACGTTAAAATATATGTCTACATGTAGGTGTCAAGAGCGTCTACGCGGACGCTGAACGGATCCCGGTGCATTACGAGAACGCGTGTATGTATGCCGTCAGGCATATACGCATGCAGTCAACATATGTCAGCCGTTGTATCCTTCTCTCCATCTGCAGCGTCGTGTAAACAGCAGAATATACCAGTGCATTAGTAGGGTGTATTCAGGGATGTGTCGCCAGAAGGTGCACGCGTATGCGTACGTACACACATGTATGTGGGTGCATATAAATATATATATATATACATATATAAATATATATCTGTAGCGGTCACGAAGATACTGACGGAACCGTAGTCAATTAGTATGGTGTATCCACGTGTGTGTATCCACGTGTGTAGGAGTGGCTCTGTCCGATGCCGCCCCTCGGCTTCCCCCTCTCTCTCTATGTATATATATACATATATAGTGGCGGCTCCGCCAGGCGATTGCCCGTGGCCTTCTCGCGTTATGTATCTTTACGCGTACATATATTGAGCATTGCCACATGCGTTTCTTCGCCCAAATGTGGAGCAGTAGTGTCCCTGGCTCTCTCGCGGAGGCGCCAGCGTAGTAGTAAGCAGTGGAAAGAGTGGCGCTGTAGGGAGGCTGTATGCGCACACAGGTATACGTGGACATACACATGTATATGTATATATATATGTGTGCCTACTGCGCATGAAGGCGGATATGTGTGGGCTTAGTATCATAGGCAAAAGACGGCAGCTGCGTATTTCTTACTCCTCTGCCCACGCAACCTCTTCCCCCGCTTTTTTGCTGCGGCTCTATATAGCCCCCTACCCGTGTGTACATGTGTGTCTCTACCTCGGTAACCGCATCGCGAAGCTAGGAATGTGGCGTGACAGCAGCAGCAGATTCGGCAGTCTTTTGTGGAGCGAGCAATGCAACAATGGTGGAACTGCTGCGTCTTAGTGTTGTGAATGTGTAAGGCTGACGGCATAGCACTCTTGCTGCTGCTCTGTTCCGCCTGCCGTTTTGTTCGTTTTTACTGGGGGGATTTTATTCGGAAGGATTGTTGTAGCGGCTCACTGATTCTCTCAAGTGGTATTGTCCTCTTTCTACAGAGGAGAGACTACTGTTCTGTTTCCCTCTGGCGCTGCTTTTCCAGCGAGCGCGCCAATATGCTCGCCATATTCCTTTTTGTGGGTTCCCGGTCCGTCTGTATTGCTGCTCTCTCCTTACATTCCCCAGTCACCGCCCTTCTCTGCTGTTCTGTGGAGATCAGCTGTCTCCGTGTCTCCCCGTACTGGTGCTGCTGCTCCTGCTGCTGCTGATGCTGCTCTCGTAGATGCGTTCGAGGTACCCCTTTCTGCTGATGCTGCTCTTGTAGATGCGTTCGAGGTAGTCCTTGCTGGTGCAAGTCCGTTTCTTCTTCTTTCCCGTTTGTGATGTAGGATACATTCTAGCGCTGTTTTCTCTCTTAAGCACGTTCTGTCGTTTTTGGTATCTACAATAGCACAACTTATACCAATAGCAGAACCTGTAGCTGATACCTCTACATTGGTACTGGTGTTTCCGTTCGGGACTTCGTTTCTTCTTATCTTATTGTGTTAGTACAGTATGTTGTACTGCCGCACCAAAACAGTTCCTAGAGCAGTTATCCGTGCATCTAGCTCCCTGTTCTTGTATATTCTGAATCTTTGTCTGGCTGTTGCTATCGTTCGCTCTATCTTGGTCTGTTCCTTACAAAAGAGTTTTCATACATACATCAGCACACACAAATACTATGTGTACGTATATACATATATATATATGTATAGTGACTTTGCTGCGTGTTCCAGAGCGTCCACTATTACTCCTGTAGCTATTGTTTGCGCATGTCGCCGCTTTCCTGCCTCTTTTTGTTGAATGGACGTTCAGGAAATTTTTTGTGGGTGGAGTGTACCCGCAAGCCACAGAACTGCAAATTCGTTCCTATTTCGAGCGATACGGGAAAGTGAAGGGGGTAGAACTGAAAATGGACCGAGTAACGGGAAGAAACAGAGGCTTTGCCTTCGTGACTATGGCTGACGAAACAGCAAAGGACGCTGTTTTTAGAGGCCAGCATGTACTCGGTGGAAAGAAGATCGAAGTACGTGCGCTTCATGATGATGGATATGAGGCACTGAAGAGAAAAATCTTCGTTGGAGGCGTCAATCCTTCTCTTTCTGAAGGTACGCTGCTGAGACGCTTTTCCGTCCTATTGCTGCCCCATTTCATCAGACAGGTAGACAGAGAAGCCAGAGGCACGCACGTGGACACAGACCGGGGACCACCTAGTTGTACACATATATATCTATACATATATTTATGTGTATGTATGTACAGTTATATATGTGTATGTGTACATACCTTGACAGATGAGTATGTGCCTCCGTGCGCATAGAAAGAGCCTTGGGGGAATGTGCGTTATATGTACGAATCTGCACATATACATACATGCATATACATATGTATATATATATCTATATGTATAGCTGTACAGACGTGTATATGCACGCGCATATATGGACGGCGGGGAGAGAGTATAGGAGGAGGAAGAGATAGACATGCACAGGCAGGGAAGCAGGAGCTTCAGGCAGAGGAACGGATGAAGTCTGCTGAGCAGACAGGTAGAAGAGAAAAGCAAGAGAGACCGACACAGATGAAGACTAGGTAATACGTACAGAGATCTAAGCATGTGCATACATGGGCGTGTACGTATATATATATCTATATATATATATATATGCGCATGCGGACGGACGATGGAGCTGGTAGACCTCTAGAGATATGCAGGAAGAAGCTTGATGTAGTGGAAAGGTCAGAGGAAGAATCGAAAGAGAGCGGGGCGGAGTCTTATCCTTTATATGGCAGCGGCAGACGCGTGTAGAGAATAGGAGAACGGGCCTCCAGGCAGAGCGAGGGACATGAAAGCAGAGGAAAAGAGGCAGGGGTGTGCCCCTTATGTGCGACTACTACCATTCTGGGGCGTGTTATATGTCCTTGAAATGCTGGTGAACGGTCTAGGAGTCGAGGAAGAGTACATGTACTGCTGCGGCAAAGTATGGTCGCGGCTCATCATCATCATCATCATCACCGTACGTATATGTATATATATATATATATATACATATATATATATATATATAATGGGGAGTTGTATATACACACTGTAAGGGTGTCTGTATGTATAATCCGTGATGGGTTCGTAGAGAGATACCTTGCAGGCACAGAGCGGATGCTTGCATGGTGTCTCCTCCTCATTGCGAACTGGTGTAGATAGATGCTTATGCTAATAGATAGAATCATCAGCAGTGACAGGTGACTACCAGACAGAAAAGAGGGGGAAGCGTAACACCGTCTTTTTACTGTTTCTCTCTCGCTGAAGCAGACCAGGCGCTCGCGTATCACCTCCGTCTCAACAGGAATCGATATACTCTACAGATGATTAAGCAGGAGAGATGCGATACGTAGCGCGGGAAGCTGTCCTATAGAGAAACTGCTGACATACGAAGGAGGGGGCGATTCGTGAGGTCATCGTGAGGTCATCTTTCCTTCTGCATCTATATCTGGAAAACACGCCAGATACACGCATACTGCGCATAACTGTAACTAGCCTGAATTTATACATACACATATATACATATATATATATGTATATCTTGTGTGGCAGGGGGATGCATGAGCGATTCACTCTAGGAGGGCGCTTTCAAGCAGGAGAACACAGAGGCGGAGGTGGATTAAGCTTCGTGTTGTCCCGTTCTTGCAGTCGTAGTGATGTGTCTGGAACTTTTGTTTGCACGGCTTGCAGCTGAGATATGCGTGTAGAGAGCGTTAAGGGGCCCCTCCAGATCTACCCAGGGTCTGTTATATACATTGATGCGTGTTTAAGCTTCTGCTTATTCAAAAGGTTGCCTTAGACATGCGCCGTCCGGGCGATATACGTACCTATGTATACGTAGACATCTGCCTAATTGGTGTACTTCTGTGTGCTCAGGGGATATATATCTCTACGTGATATATATATATATATATATACGTATATATATACGTACACCTATACGCGCACACGTGTGCATCTGCGTACAAATATGTTCCCGTCGATATGAATATGAATGTATCCATATATATATATATATATATATATATATATATATATATATATATATATATGTGCAGCGTGAAGACTTCTGTTAACGCAGAAGGGCGTGAGTACACATAGAGGTGCTTTTCAAACGTATGGTGGGGGAGAACTGTTGGAGCAGTGAGTGAAAGTAGGACATATCTGGTACGCGTCTTTGACGGGAGAAACAAGTTCCTGTGTGTGCTTTCTTTTGCAGAGGAAATTGGAGCGTACTTCGGAAAATTTGGAACGGTGGAAAAGGTAAGTGTTGAGCAGCGCTCTCAGCAAGTAGAGTACAGTGATTCCAGCAACTGCAGCCGTATATCCTGCAACAGACACATGTATGTGCGTCCATATATATATATATATATATATATATCCATCGGTGCACATATGTGTATACATAGGTACGTATACGCAGATATATGTAGGTACGTGTATGTATATATATGTATATACATGTATACGAGTGCGTGTAATGGCATATCGTCCTGTCTGTATCTGCGTATACAAATACGTGCATGCAGGTATACATATAAATATACCAGCGTATATGACGTGTATGCAGGTATACATATAAATATACCAGCGTATATGCGTGTATGTATCTAAGAAGCACGCATGCGTATTGCGGAACATTTTTCGAATCCGTGAGTAGCCTCCCCAGCATCAGCGGGAGCACGCACTGGGTAGTAACCAGCACAGGCGTCTGTATGCATGCGTACGCAGTCACATGCTACATATGTACAGAATACTGATGCAAGTACTCCGTGCGCGCGTGTGGGAACCTAGCACGTGCGCATATATATATATATATATATGTGTATATATGTATATATATGTATGTACGTATAGATGTCGATATGTATATACGTGTAAACTTGCAGAAGCAGTCGCATGTGCGTATGTTGATACATAAACCACCACATCGTTGTATGTTTCTCTGTGGTACTTGCCAGGTCAGCATTATTAGGGATGCTACGACAGGGAAATCCCGCGGATTTGGTTTCGTGGTTTTCGCCGAAGAATCTGCCGTAAAGGACGTCCTCAAAAATCGCCGCCATAATCTGAATGATAAGGATAGCGTAAGTCTTCACGCTCTTCGTGGATAAGTAGGCGATAAGTCTTTTGACACCTGAATTGTGAAGAAAGTACCTGAGAGTGAAACCCACAAAATCCGTATATATCTGTGGGCATAGTCGCGTGTATATATATACATGTAGATGGGTACACATATATGTGTAGGTATACACATGTGTATATAGGTCTACTTACACGTGTATAGCTACAAATGTATATATGTGTGTACGTATATGTATGTGGATATAATGGCGTGTATATATGTTGATCTTTCTGGCAGTGCAGAGTGTGTGTCCCCACAGTGTTTGTGTCAGCCGTGAGTTCGCGAAGGTCTTCCTTTAGTCTTGCTGTCTTAATCTGAACGATAAGGACAGGGGAAGTCTTGGTTTTTCTAATTATGTGTATTGACGTGGAGGCAGTCAGGGGTGTGAATCTCGGTATTTTTCAATCCGTCAAGTAACCGTCAGAGTCTTAGCAACTAACAGTAAGTTTGTCGGTATGTGTGACTACGTGTGGGTATTACGCAAAGAAGCCGACCTGGGGTACAGGATAAGGCCGCTGTTTATATGTGGAACATGTCCAGCATGCACTCCAGCCGTCATGGGCGAGCGATATGGATATGTCTGCTGCTTATATGTATGAACGTGCAGCAGCAGTAGTCAAGAATGTCATACTTAGTCTAGCTGAGAAGAGTAATGTATGGGCATGTGTGTCTGCGTCACCTGTCATATGTTACATATTTATATACATATGTATACACGTATGTACATATATATAGTAGGCGCTGCGGAGTGTATGCCTCCCTAGGTATGTGAGCTGTCTATCTTCGAAAAGAAAAAACGGAAGAAGCGCCACCTCGACTTAAATGATGGATACCTTGTAAATCTGCGGAATTTTATGATTACTTTTTCGTCTATGCATCGTAATACTGCTGCTGAAGCCGTTCAGTATTTCCTGAATTTGCCTGTTAGCTGTCAACCTTTGCATAGAGCGGCGGTTTCCTTCTCCTTCTTACGCTGCTGTTTTGCTGCCGCGTGCGCGGTTCCTCCGTCTGTGCAAGTTGTTTGTGCTAGCTTTCTCGGTTCGCTTATAGAAAACCTGTTCATATATGTTTATATGAAAAACTACGTAGATTGCGCTCCACCGTATCTTTATATATGTGTGGGTGAAAACTATGTAGACTGCGCTTCACCTTCTCTTTCTTGTGGTGCCGTTTTGTTACGGTCACCTGCACTCTTCTGCTTTATCTATGCAGGTCGGGTATGTCAAATCTGCTGCTCAGCATATATATGAGGTACGTGTGTACATCTATCAAGTGAGTAGACACACTCTATGTTCGTGTTTCTGTTTATTCTGCTGCTCACCATATATGTAAGGTACATGTGTACATTTATCAAGTGAGTAGACACACTCCATATTCTCGTATCTTTCTTGTGCTGCTGTGTTTCTGCTACGTGTGCCGGGCGTCTCTGCCGTTACAGGGCGGGTATCGCAGCGGCCTTGTTTCGCATATAGAAGACCTCCATACATCTTCACATATATATGTGTTTGCGTAATGAATATCTCGATGAAGTGTACCCTCTTCCTTTCTGTGCTGCTGCTTCCCCGGCACACGCATCCGCCCTTTGTCCATACTCTTGTGATGTGGTGTGTTGTGCTGCCTCTTGGCCATGATGCTAGAGAAGCTGCTGAACCGCCGCTGGTGATTGTGCAGCAGCGTGCGTGGCGGAATTTTTTGTGCTGCTGCTGCCGCTGCTGCTGCCACTGCTTCTCCACCGCCCCTTGTATGCATCAGCTTCACTTGTAGGAGTCCAAGGAGCGGCCGCGCAGAGAGGCTGCTGCTGGAGCAGCAGCAGCAGCAGCACCCGCGTCATCCTCATGGGGTCAGCCACCCGCGTTCGCCCACACACTCACGGGACCTACATACGGGATGGTTTCTTCCTTTTGCTGTTTACGTGTAATCGGTTCCTGCTCTCTTGCTGGGTGCTGCAGTCTTGCTGAATGTCCTGTAGCCGCTTGTTGGTAACAACAGGCTTGAGGCGATGTGCACATACATACGCATATGTATATATGGTACCCATATATACATATATACGTACATTTCCCTCTGTGTAGATGTACGTGCGTATACACATATATGAGCTGTTGTTTGCCGCGTGAACTGTGCGTGTCTTCTTATCTGCTGCAGTGCGAAGTTCGAGCAGCAGAGGCACGTGCAGCACTGCCGACAACCCCGCCGATTTACAGCGTATAGCTCGTACCCGCCTATGCATCCGCCAGCCCCGGGCGGCCGAGGAGGTGCAGCAGCAGGTGGTCTGATAGGCGGCGGTCCTGCGCCTGCACCGGTGCTTCCGCCTTCTTATTTCCCCGCCCCTGCACACCCAGCAGCAGCAGGTGGAGCACCTGCTGCGTACTATCCAGCAGGCCGCGCCCCCTGCTGCAGCGCCAGTGGCTCCAGCTCCTGCACCTGCTTATTACTACGGCCCTCCTCCTCCGACCCTGAGTAGTGTTCCTGCTCCTGCTCCTGCTCCTCAAGTGACGCCGTACTATGCGACAGCCCCAGCTCCTGCTGCTGCTGCTGCCGCTCCGCCTGTGCACCCACACATGGTAGGCGCTGCGCCTGCTGCCACGCCCTATGCGCAACATCATCCGCCGCAGCCGGTAGCTACACAAGCTACTCAATACGGGGCCACAACGCTGACATCTACTGCTATTCCGATGGTGGCAGCTGGGCAGCAGCAGACCGTCGCTGCCACCAATATCTACGGAACAGCTGCTGCACCTGCTCCTGCTGCCACGGCGTACGATCCAAATGCAGTTGCTGCTGCTGCGGCTGGCGCGGCCGCACCCGCAGCTGCTCCTGCTGCTGCCAACGCTCGTGTTGCAGCATCCAGCTACTGGGGCGAAGATCAGTCTGCCGCCTGCTACGGGGTCGCCAGAACTACTACGGCTGCTCCTGCGGCTGCGACAGGCGTCGTCGGAAGACCCACCGCTCAAACTGCTGTGACAGCACCCACCAGCTACGGAGGGTACAGCCCCGTGAGGCAAAGTAAGAACAGCAGATCTGACTTAGGACAGCACATCTCCGCTTTCAAGCGACGTCTCTCGTGAGAAGCACACTGCTGGTGTACTGAATTTATGGCTGTTTAGCGTCTGATCTAAAGTCTCCACTTTGATATGCTGGTGCGCGCGTGTGCAGCCTTTAGGCAGCACATCGGGGGTGTATCAATGTAATGATTGACTAGCTTTTGATCTGAACTTCCCCCATTGATATGCTGGTGCGCTCATATGCTGGTGTGCTCGTGTGCAGCCTCTGAGAAGCACCTGTGGGAATGTACTAATGTGACGGTGTCTAGCTTTTCGTCTAAAGTTTGTACGGCGATATGCTGGTGTGCTCGCCTCCAGCGTCTGATAAATTTGTTGTATGCTGGCGGTGGAAAAAGATGTGTATGTACAGAAAGAGGAAAACGTGCATATGTATGTGTACTCATGTGGTTGATGTCTACCTTGTGATCTTAGGTCGCCACAGTGATATGCTGATGCGCTCGTGTGCAGCCTCTGATGTGGTTCATGGATCTTGGCGGTGGGGGTCTCCTCGTATGCAGCTTCTCATATGATTCTTGTATGTTGTGATGGATAAAGACGCGTATGCACAGAGAGAGAGAAGCGTACCTATATATTTTTCAAGAGGATCTTATGCTGTGTCCGGTAGGGTTCTTCTATGGTGGCGGTGGTGGTGTATTTGTATGCAGCTGCTGCTACTGCTTTTGCATCGTGGCGGCGGATATACATATATATACGTATGTGTATATTCGCATGTGTATACAGGTATATATGTACAGAGAGGGAGTGAGAGACATACACGTATATATATATATATATATCTGAGAGGAGCGCTTTTGTGTGCAGCTTTTGGTATGATTCTTGTGTATCGGTGTTGCTGATGATTTGTCTGCAGCTCCCTACTACGGCGTGACAGGCAGGGCGAATGTGCGTCGCAGTCCTTACTAAGAAGAAGAGCAATAGTGTGGGGAGCAGCAGCAGGTATTCTTGCTCTATCATCACTGCAACATCAAACCGCTGAGCAGCAGCAGCACCAGCAGCAGCACCAACGGGTGGCTAGCATTACTGCTACTATGATTATTATTATTACAGATAACACAGGCAGAGACTTCCGGAGAAGAAACAGGTGCAGCGCAGCAGCTGCAGCAGCGGCAGAAGCAAAACTTCGATGAGGAAGATAATCTGCTGCTTCGGGATTTCTGCTTTTTTTCCTGACAAACATGCACACTGAGTTTCACCGGCTATCCAAGGCTCCTTCGAATACTGAACTGCTGCTCTTTGTATACCTTTCGAACTATTCTTTACCTTTTACTTACACGTATGCTTTTGGTGCCAGTGCTGCTGCGCGTTGCTACTACTTGTACAAGAGGTCTCCAGAGCGTGGCCTGTCTATAATCGTGTGCATTTGCGCATACAGGAGAAGGACACCACTGCTACAGCTGCAGCTGTTGTTACTGTTACTCCCCTAGCCTGCTGCGCTGTAGCGGCACGAGCATTCAAATATCGGGTAGAGAGAGGAAAGAAGAAAGTCACTTTATCGCGGCTGTTGCTGCCCCTGCTGCACTGAGGTTGAAGCAAAGGCGCCATGGCGACTGGCGTACAGAAGTGCCCCTATTCATACAAAATGGTGTGTGCACCTGCTTGTGTGTATGTGTGTGTTGACGTATGTATATATATATATATGTATATACATATATACGTGTCTGTCTGTGTGTTTTCTCACGTACGTACGTATGTGTGTGTGTGTGCCCCCGTATATGTTTGTGTATATGCATCAGTATGTGGGCATAGAGCTCCACTGGTGGTAGTAATGTAGAAACCGCTGTGAAAATAAATGTGGGGAAGAAAGCTTGCAACCCTTTCCTGCGTAGAGAGAAATGGAGAGAATGAAAAAGGCAGCAGCCCTACTGACGGTAGTAGTATCCTTAGCGAAGACGCAGTTGAGAAGAAGGCTTGCGTATCTCTTTTACAAAGAGATAAATAAGGAGAACGGGTGAGGCAGCTCCATTGGGCGGGTAGTTTACTTTGCTGATGTTGATTGTGCTCTCACTAGTGTAGGGAACGCTCCCAAAGTGAATATAAGAAGGACGGCCTGCATTTATGTTTGACGAAGAGGGAGACGCAAGGATTGAGATCCGCAGTTCTGTTTGGTGGTACTGGTGCTGCCTCTGTCAGGGAGAATGCTGTGGCAACGAATGGGGGAAGGAAGCCCCGCGTAACTAGCTGAGTAGAGGGAGACAAAGCACACGATGGCGGCACCTGTATTAATGGCTGTAGTAGTACTTCCAGCAGCCCAGGGAACCTTGCGAAGATGAATATACACAGGAATATCTTGTTTCCTTTTCTGCGAAGTGGTACACAGAGAGGAAGAGGCAAAAGATACCCCACTGAAAACGGCAGCCGCACTCAGCTATTGGTTTTATTCTGTTCCAGAAGAGGAGGCTGGATAATAAACGTCGGCTCATCGCAGGATCGGTTGTGCTGGGTAGTAGAATGTAACGTTGTTGCAAGAGGCAAACCGTCCTGGCAGCATCAGCAGTGTACAAGCGGACAGCACTAGCAGCATAGCCACGGCAGTCCAGCGCTGCAGAAAGGCGCTTACAAACGGAAATAGACACGCAAAGGAGGGAGCGGCAGGGTACACAGAAGGAGACGGGGCGTGAAGAAGAGAGGAGAAGAGCAGGCAGAATGTGTGCGGGCAGATACAGAAAACTGAAGCAAGCGAGTCGTGTGCAGGCAGATACAGAGAAGGCGAGCAAGCAGAGAGTGCGCAGTAGGAAAACTGATGGAGGACAGCGTCGACGAGAAGGTCAAGCAGAAATCTAGACATGCTGGGGTGTCAGAGGAGCGGCACCAGCGGTGGCACGACTCGTATGCGCTGCTTTAACACGGGGCGGTGTAGAAAGACAGAATGTCGAAATGAACAGGATATGACAGCACGGGAAAGATCCAGCTGCGCAGAAAAAGGAGGAGCAGGGGAACAAGAGACAGATAGGAGGCATGTCACGAGAATCCTGCGTAAAGTGCAAAACAAGAAGGAATGAAAGGGAGGCAAGCAAGGGGTCTGCCGAAGGCGGAAGAGTCACGTAGAGGCAGGAAACTGCGTAACCGCGCGCTGGCTGACTAACGAGCAGCGGCACGGTCCGCACGCACAAGGCGAAGCAAGAGGAAGAGGAATACTAGTCACTCAGGGAGAAAATGTATGTATAGGGGTATACACATATATATTCATATGACTCTAATATATTCGGTGTGGGGCAGAGGACCCACTTGCTTGCTGCTGCAGCTGAGGGGGATACGTCCTACCGTAGACAGGAAGGAAATGATCGGGAAACACCGTTAAATGTCTGCTTTTGGGAAGACCATGATGGTGACGCGAGCAGTTGTGTGTTTCCTTGACGCCCGCAGCAGACGTACAGGATGAGGTGACTGACGGTCGCGCGTCTCCAGCCGGCAGCACGAGAACAAGAAGAAGGAAGAGGTGAAGAAGCAGAAGGAGGAGAAGCAGATCGCTTTCTTTCCTCTTGTTCTCCTCTCCAGGCGCCTTCGCGCAGGTCGTTTCGCCGGGAAGCGCAGCTGAGACCTGTAAGACCATCATCGGCATTTCAGATGCCACCATAGCGGGCTGCAGGCAAACTGTGGTCATTAGCAGCAGCAGCAGTAAGCGACCGCAGCAGCTACCCTGATCAATAGCTGCAGGAGCACAAAAATAGCAGCAGTGACCGTGATCAACAGCAGCAGCAGTACAAGAAATAGCAGCAGGTACGGTTATCAGCAGCAGCAGCAGCAAAAACAACAGCAGTAAAAGAAATAGCAGCAGGTGTAGCAGCAGCACGACGGCACGGATCTGTAAACAGGAGCGGCATGAGACGGCTAGGAAGACCAGCAGCACAGGCGGTTACGTGTAGGTGTGTCGCTTGGTACAGTACATGTACTGCATGTGCTGCCGTTATTACGGAGGCAAAATTTCCTGGTGCTTTCGCAGCCGCTGCGGCGCCCGGCAATATCGGTAGCTGCAGGTTGGACACGTACTTTCTTCAAACGCTTGTTACAACGTAAAGGGACAGAGGCGGCAGGCGTGACACGAAGTGCAGCTATATGCAGTTGCCGCAGAAGAGCACCAGCAGTATGCTGGTATTTGCAGTGGTGCATCCCCCCACGTATGTGCCTGGTGTCCCAGCCTGCATTTTCTCCTCTCACGTCGTCGTCTTCACGCGTAGCACTTTGATGAATCTCAGCCTCAACTCTAACGGCTCTTTCTAGAAGTGTAGGTGCTGCGCGCGTCTTTCTATTAGAGCTACTGCGGCGAGGCATATAGAACTGGTAGAATTCTGAGCAATCACTGGCCTTTCCTGGGCCGGGGTGTAGAGCGTTTAGACCAGCAACTCATTTCTGGGAAATATAGCCACCTGGCTTGTTCTTGGCGCCGTTGTAAATGTACAGCCACCAGACTATAGAGTCACCTTCGAAATGGGTAACTGTTTCGGTTCAACAGCAGCAGCATACTGTACATTCAAGTAATAAACTCGTTACTGTTTCCCTGTATATAGGTTGGTGGAACAGCAAAGTATATATGCGACAGCATATCGCCAGTGTCGCGCGACCCCTACTTCGTTTGTGGCGCAGAGCTGATAGACGTAGCAAGTAATCCTGGGGATATATGACAACCTCGAGTGGTGATTAGTTGGCTGGTGGTGTAGGGCTGAAGCAATTTGTAGTCATCATCGTAATCTATAACTACATCTGCTGGTCCGCAGGCGACTGGCGCTTGTGTAGAAGACAATCCCTGTTTCTCAACCGCTCGAGGAGCCTTTTGCCGGTGTACGTCGTGAAGTATATAACAGCTGTAGCGGAAGGTTGCCCTGCGCATGCGCAGAAATATTGTATATCGCTGTAGAGGTGTCCAGGCACGCCCAGCAGTTGCAACTCCAAACTTGTCCTGCTGGTCATTTCGAGGGACGGCTGCTCACACTCACAAGGAACTGCGGGGGCCGCTGCCCCAGGCTGCGTCTCGACTGCTGTTCTTTCGTATGTAGCATTTACGTCAGATGTACAGAGCCGTAGTGGAGGAGCTATTGAAAATGCCATGATGAAGTACAGCGACTGTAATTTCTGCTGAAGCACATCTTTGCTAATTCTCTTCAGTAGCGGCTAAGCTAGTAAAAGGTACCTCTTCGCCCACTCCACACTTGTATACCCGCCTGCAGAAGCCTGTATTTTCCTTCAACACCCCTCCAAGATGGTAGCAAACTTGTCCAGCGCAGGTCGGCTTTTCTGCGGCTTTCATGTCGCTTCGCCTCCCACTCCAGTTGTATTGTGCTGGTCGATGATCTGTATCATTGAGGTACGTGGATGTGTAGCATGTATGCGTAGACCCTAGCAGCACACCCGGAGAGTAGCGGAGGAGGGTTGCGCGCTGACGCTTCCCTGTGTTGCACTACGGTCTACACGTGGCGTAGAAGCGAACGCGGCCATTTACATGCTAGCAGTAGCAGGTTGACGCAGAGAGGAACTCGGACGCGTGTTTGGGTGTCGACATGCCAATATTCAAAGATGCCTTACATAAAGCGTAACAGCGGACTGAGAGAGACGGCCAAGGGAACTTTTGCAGTAGGCGTGCAGGCCAAGGCAAGAGGCAAGTACAGAGAGCTAATACGGAAGCGTGAAATCGCGACACAGCATACCTGAGTTGTATATATGTAGAGGAGCCGGTGGGCTCCCGTGCGGTTGCAGCAGGTTCACGAGAAATGCGTGTGCGTACAGGGCGAGTACAAGTAGCTGCTGGTGGATAGCGCGGGCGGAAAGAGTCTGAAAAAGCACCGTGCCATAGTGTCGTGGCTGCCCGGCGAAGTAAAATATATGCCAACAACTGCAGAAGCATGCAGAGCTGATATACCAGTACCACAGGCCCCCCAGTGTGGACATGTAACTCGCGTAATTGGCATATCCATAAATACAATACGCAACGCATATCAGCGACTGCCATTGGCGAAGAAATTCGCGCGTATCTACCGAACATACATATATATATACATATATATACCTATATATACATAAAAATATGTATAAATATATGTATACCTATATATACATAAAAATATACGTATATATATATATATATGTATATATACGTATGAATACTCACTGGTGCAGACTAACCTAAGATGTACTTGTATATATGAATATATATGTATATATGTATACAAGCGTATATGCATCTTCGCAAGCTAGGAAGAGGTAGCCACCCGTACGTATCTTCCTACATTTGATGAAGAGCGAGTGACGGTAGATACCTGTGTACATACTTATACATTTGTACATTTATGTGGACTAAGTATATGTGCTTCAGATACTTGTGTAGATAGGGCTCTGTGTACGTAATATCTGTATGTGGACGCCTACGCATCGGGAGCGGTATACAGTTTATGTCCGACGTGGACGCACATATCGTAAAAGGACGGATGGCGTATACGAAAGTGTAACACTTCTGCTTGTACCACAGAGTACGCGGGTGGACGTGAGATTCCACTATTGGAAAGATACGTCCACGGCGCTCCATACGCATAAATGGGGGAGATTCCGAAGCATGCGTAATATGGATGTTCACCTATTACACGCCTGCTAGCGATACTGTATCGCGTATTACCTAAACAGAAGCACTTCGCGAGCTCTTTGCCATGTCAGAGTGTTTGCCTGTTGTGCGCACTTACCGCGTTACCATTCTTTAGTACAGGTCAGAGCCATGCAATCGAAAAAGTGCGGCTTTTACCACTACCCACCCGGAGCGTGCTTGCAGTTGGTTACTTCCTGCAGCCCTGCAATACTATATCATTACAAGTTACTGTGTAGTATGCACGTTGCTATCATTTCTCGTGTCCGGCTGTTTATCTGTCTTCTGTGCCTAGCGTGGTGACCGATTCCTTAGTTCATAATCCGCCTATACGCGCAGTAGAATACCGCGCCGCACGGCTGCTTCCTTGGGCAGTTTTGGCAGCTTCACTTTTTCGTGTAGTCGTGCGCATCTCAGGTGGTCGCCAGCGGGCGTGACACACACGTAGCAGACGCGCAGCGAGCTGGACGCAGCCCGGAAGTGAGAGACACTTTAATGGCTTGGATGGAGGAGGGCCTGAAATTTTTGTGCAGCAGCCGTGTATTTGAATACACTTCTAGATGAGCAGCTGAGCCTGCGTTGCTGGAGACGGATTGACAAGAAGAGCAGAGGAATGTGCAGTTAGCGGCTACACAGCCGATGAAGTGTGCGTTCTGGTGCCCACTGGTCTGGCGTCGACATACCTGTTGCCGCTGCACGCGTCTGTTAGCACATTAGTCAAATCTTGAATCCTTGTTCAAGCTTGCACCTGCAACCTTCGCTGGCACCAAGGTATTTGAAGCGCATACACCAGCTATTGTGCAGCAGCGTAGTATTTTCCAGCACTTGGGTCTCTACAAAAGGTTTTTCGTGGCGGGCACCAATCCGGTGGAGTGGTTACGAGTCACGCAAGAAGCCTTCGCAGTCTCCCGAACGTGGCCGCACGCATGGACGGGTGAGGAATACTAGGACCGCCTCAGTAGACGATCACGTGCAGGTCCAAGGGCACGTCGGCTCCAGGGTGTCTTGTGCTGTTGTGTGCGGGGATGCGCGTGTCTGTGAGTGCGTGAACTGCCGCTCGGCACTTTTTGGCGGCATGCAGACTGTAAAAATAGCGGGGGATGCCGTGCACTAGGGGCGCTCAAGCAGCCACAGGTGTGCGGCCAGTATTTCGCGGTAAGGTTCAGAGAGAAAAACCTGCAGCAAGCAATACGGAAGGGATACAGACTAAATAGTCAGTTTCTCGATGCTCGGAATGTTCCTCCTACTGCCGCTGAAATGCTCTCACTGCTAGGGTAGTAGTAGAACTACTACTAGAACACAGCCGCTAATACTATCGCCCCAACTGCCACGAAACTGATACTACCACTACAGAAAGCGTCGTCCGAAAATGTTTTCTGCGGCGTGGGCGGAATGAAGCGCTTGCGCGAGGTTGGAAGAGATTGAGTTTTTCGGGCTAGTTGACAGTTACTCACCGCAGAGGTCTGCGGCGCCGATGCAACTGCACGAATCGCGCGAAGTGAGCAGTTGAGTGCTTGAGGGTGCGGCAGTTGCAGCGCGCACAAGCTTGGTCACGAAGCGTTGGTCATACCTGCACGTGCTGTAGTCAGAAAGTACGTTTCCTGCGGCGGGTGCTCGCGCGTGCAAGTGCTGAGTGACGACGCATTTGCTTCATGCCTGCACGTAAGGTAATAGTGAGCATGCTCACCATGGGCGACATCTACGTGGTACCGTTCAGAATGCGTGCACTTTCTTCAGTCAGCAGGACGGTGCCCGGGGCGACCGCCGTAGCCGACCCCTACGTGGTACACTGGGACCCTCCAGCAGGCCTTCACTGTAGCCGGAAATGGCGTGTCCAGGGCAGAATTGAGCGTGACGACTGTGGGCGGCTCTTACATGTATGTGCACCAAGCTTGCAGTTGCTGCAGTCAGGAGCTGCGCTTCGTAAGATGGTAGCGGGCACTCGTTTTGCCTGCGCTTGCTGTGTCTAGCTGCGGCTTTTCCTGAAATGATACTGATCACGCTCAGCGCAGGCGTATTTCTGCATGGTACAGTTCTGAGCTGTTGCTGCTCTGACGTTACACTGTGGACACCCCATCAGTGCGACGTCGCTAAGTAGTACGATGTCCGCGTTGCTTTCTAACCGGTTCGGGATTCAGGGTGGTAGAGTGAGTCTTCCGCTGTTGGTGAAGGCGGGTTGCCACGTCTTGAATTTTTGAAGCAGTATACGCATACACTCCTCGTGTCCTGAGGAACGCCCTTCTGGGCTCTCAGTGACACGCGTGGACGGCAGTCAGCGTTGCACGGGTACCGCGGCTTCACGAGGCGCACGCACAAGGTACCCGCCCTTGAGAACCCCCCTCGTTGTTGGGGTACATTCTACGACACTGAGTACTGAGATCTGGCGACGGTCGCACAGCAAAGGTCGATGGAGCGACATAGTTGTTTTCCGAGTACTTCTACGTGTCTCGTAGGGAAGTCCGCAGCAGTCTGTGAATTAGCGCCTTCCCACGTTGTTGTCCAGGAACCGTAGAAGTCACTGTCTGCAAATACCAGCATGTCAGGGCGCAAAGCGTGGTAGCGGTCGTGTCACACGGTCGATGAAGAGTCTAATTTGCTCCAAAACTGCAGGCCAGTATACGTTGTTCTACGTCTCACGGACGGTGCACCTAAAGGGGCGACCCTGCTATTCGAGGGTAGTGTGATTTAGTTGGGGAACTGACGCGTTGGCGGAAATTGTGGTCCATTACCCCTGAAGCGGCGCGTAGTGGCGTCGAAGCTGGGAGCAAATCGTGAGACGGAGACATGTGTCGGGTCCGAAAGCAAGGTGTCTGCGGCATAATAGTCGATCTGGATAAGCTCTGCAGTGTGGCGCCCCGCTGCGCTGATCAGGTGCCCTTTGGGGTAATTTCTG